TTAAGTTCACTGTAGAAGTCCAGGTGACCCCGTTACTGATTGAAAGAATCATTACATGCTTTATTTTTCAGATTTATAGGTGACAAGTTTGACGTTTTACTACGCAAATTTATTGGTTTAACTTGGCATTTGTTTGAACACCCCAATTCTGCTCCAAACTACATGGACTGGAACACCTCTTAGAAGATTTTGAAAACGGAAATCACCAGATGTCTCTAACTATCATAAAACAATCAAGTGATTTTATAGAGCTCTTAATTTTTAGGCAACACTCCATCTTGATGGATCTGCAAAGATCGTTTAGAACAATAGCCGCCCAAATAACTAAATGAGTTAAACAATTAAAGAAGAGTTGTTTGGCATTATCTATCTGGGTGCTAAAGAAAGCCTGCCTAAAGGGGTAATTTTTATTTTTCCAATAACTGACACTTAACCATTCCTTCTGTTAGCAATTAGCCAACAGGTTCAACTGCATGTTCCCACCGCTCCCAGCAGACTCTGATAATAATCGGCAAAGAGCAAGGGTGTTTACCTGCCGCGTTTTGCTCCAGTAACAAGGTGTGGATTTAGCTAATCTAAATTTCGTCAAACTGCTTTAGTTGAAATGAAGGTGATGTCTTAAGGCTTCACGTAGTTAAGGATGGAGAAAGAAGTTATTTTCTATCCATTAGATGTTTATTGTGACAAACCTTTAAAGAAGCATTTACAAGCCCGGAAGCCACAGTGAAATTGCCTGCACTTATTCATAGACCAAAGGGCAAATCATAGGTTAACAAATGCTGCTAACAGTTTTATTTTCCTTTTTTTTTTTTTCTTTACTAACTGAACAGAACAGAGCTGTGGCACAGAGGAACTGCAGCTAAAGTCAAAACTTTTGCATTAAATGTAATGAAATAGCATAAAATGGAGAGCTCTAAATCTGTAATTTGCTGAGAACAGAGCAGATATGCATCAGTGAGGATATCAATGTAACCCCATAAGCTTATAGAATGCGAAGATTGAAAGCTATTTAGTGAATTGGGCTATGGTTTGAGTTCATCATGAAAAATAATGCTCTGGGCCCTGGCCGGGTGGCTCAGTTGGTTGGAGCATCACCCTGTACACCAAAAGGTTGTGGGTTCGATCCCCAGTCTGGGCATGTACAGGAGGCAATCAATCGATGTTTCTGTCTCACATCGATGTTTCTTTCCCTCTCTCCTTCTCTCTCAAATCAATAAACATAATCTCAGGTGAGGCAATAAAAACAACCAAACAAAAAAAACCAGTGCTCTGGGAATTGAAGTAATCTATTTTAGAAACCTTGAGCTCCAACACTCAGAACAGGAATGAACGTTTGGTAGCAAATGACCTTCAACAGGACTTGCTCAATTTAAAGTGATTAAAGAGGTGTACTGAAATAAGCAGACATCCAAGGTGTGGAGGTGGTGAAATGTTTAATGCATGAGGGGAATCTTGCAGAGCTTTAGGTTTTAAGAAAAATTTGTGCTTTACAAGCAAAGATGTGTGTCAGCAAGACGGCTGATAGGAAGCTACAAGCTCTCCTCCCACGGAGACATCAGGTTCACAACATCATGACTGTGAGGACTGTGCAGGGACTGATAGGCTGGAACACGATCATTTTGCTTCTAAGTAAAGGCTGGTTCAGACTAAACTCATCTACAGGTATTAAATCTAGGAGGGTTTTTTTTGTGTGTTTTCTTAGAAGAAGTGAAGGGAGGGAGGAAGGGGGGAGAGAGAGAAACACTGATGTGAGAGAGACACAGCAACTGGTTGCCTCCTGTAGCCGCCCTTGACCGGGAATCAAACCAGCTGCCCTTTGGGCCTCGGGCTGATGCTCTAACCACTGAGCCAAACCAGCCAGGGCTAAGAGGTAGTTTTTTTGTTTTGGGTTTTTTGTTTGTTTGTTTTTAAATATAGCTTTATTGATTTCAGGAAGAGAAAGAGAGAGAGAAACATCAGTGATGAGAGAGTTGGCATTGATCAGCTGCCTCCTGCACGCCCTGGACTGGGGATGGAGCCCGCAACCCGGGCATGTGCCCTGACCAGGAATCAAATTGCAATCTCCTGGATCCTAGGTCGATGCTCAACCGCTGAGCCATGCTGGGCCGGGCTAAGAGGTAGTTTTGATGTGTGGTCTTACAGTATCTCCCCACAGATTTCATTGCAAGGAAGGAAAAAAAGCCATAATTATAGAATAATATACAATGGGGAAAAAATCAGTCAACACCTTGACCAAAGTGATCAAAATTAGCTTCACCAATGGGGGACAAATAGATAACATGTACCCCTATATGTGGTACCCTGAAAAGCACCCATCATCACCTATGAAGAATTTCAGCCAAAAATGTATAACCTGAATCTAGTTATGAGGCAATAACAGTCAACCAAAATTATGAACATTCTTGTCAAAAAACAGAGCGGGGGGAATATCCTTCAAAAGTGTCAGGGTCATAAAAGACAATGAAAAGCTGTGATGTTCCATGTTAAAAGACAATAGAGACATGACAAGTCAAAGCACCATCTCGTTTAGATGAGATTTCTTACTCTAGGGGAAACTATTACAAAGGACATTATTGGATCAACTGAAAACCTGGATTATTAATATTAGACAAAAGTAAAGTATTAATGTTAAATTTATTAAAGGTGCTAACTGTACCATGGTTATATAAGAGAGGATCTCTAAGTTGTTAGGTACAAAGAGCCATGATGTATGGAACTTACCTTAAAATGATTGAGAAAAATATCAGATGGCTAGACAGAGAGAACTAGATAAAGTAGTAGAACACTAACCAAAGGTGAATCTGGGTGCAATACTCTTTGTACTATTTTTATTTTTTCAATTAGGTTTGAAATTATTTCCAAATAAATGGGTAAGATTAATTTTTAAAAGTATGTGTGCAGCCCTGGTCGGTTTGGCTCAGAGGTTAGAGCGTTGGCCTGAGGACTGAAGGCAGGTACCTCGGCTGCAGGCTCGATCCCCAGCCCTGGCTGGGGCACATGCAGGAGGCAACCAGTCGATGTGTCTCTCTCACAACGATGTTTCTCTCTCTCTCTCTGTGTTATTCCTCTGAGAATGTGATCCCTCCTGAAGCTGCCTCTCACACTGACCAGCCCTGAGGCTCTTGGCCAAAACCCAGCAGATCAGTTATCCAAGAAAAGGGGTGCTGGTGTTTTTTTCTTAATTAACCGACATTGAGTAGCAAAGTCTCCTAAAGATGATTTGCTGTCAGAATGACTTTGTGAGCCACAGGAAAACCTGGACTTTTCCCAAATTCTGCCTCAAAGTGAACAATAATAGCAGAAATGTTCTGCAGCTAATTTAGGGACGACAGAGATGAGTTACTGAATCAGAGTCCTTTGAAGTCCTCTGTGTGCCATCTACCTGTCTCCACAGGCGACCCACTCGCATCTAAAAGGCATCGGAACTCCCAGAATGTGCTTAAGCAGCAACAATTTAATGTACAAAATCATCATAATCAGCAATAAAAGGTATCAACCATCTATGCGCTGATACAATAGGCAAAATACGCTAACATCAAAGTTTCAGGAAGATAAATTATTGCTTGAAAAAAGTGTATTATGCATAGTTTATATATAACATGGTTTCATTTACGTGAAGTAAATCAGATACTACTAGATATACACACACAGTAATTGTGTATGCATTGAAAACTAAAGCCTGGCTATATGTTCAATAGACTGTTAACAGTGATTCCTGGGAATTAAGAGAGAGGAAAGCACAATGACATTTCATCTTTTTACTTTACACCCTTCTCTCTTGTTTAAATGTCTTATAATGAATATGTATTACTTTAGTAATTCCTACAAGAAAAATTTCAAAAAGATGCCCACTTTCTAAACCATCCCTGTATTCTTAAAACAAACCTTAGTTCGGTGTTTATGAGCATGGAGTCTAAGTAACACGTCAGGAACCCTGGGTGTTTATGGAAAATATGCTTCCTAGACCCCATCCCAGCTTTAAGAAGTCAGACCCCCTGGGAGTGAGGCACAGGACTCCGCATTCTTGGCAGCCACACCGAGTGATTCTAGTCTCTGCCATCCTGAGCTGCAGTAGATCAGAATGAATGATGTAGTTGCTTAAAAATCAGCAAGTGCCAACACCTCCTGCATACACCCGCCCGCTGCCTACCAATGTAAAAGTGAAAGACAGCAGTTAGTATAGGCCGGGCCCAAGGGAGAAAAGGCCCAGTACACAGATGAACGGCTCGAAGCATGTGGTGACCCAGAGCTCGCTCTAAGCATGTCTGGTCACAAAGTGAGGAAGACAGACGGACGACAGGGCCCGTGGAGGGAGAGACTGCCGAGCGTAGAACCTTCCTCTTGGCCCCCAGTTCCCACCTGGTCAGCCCGACACAGCAGCGGCGGCTCGCAGCTGATGGACCACAGGTCGGGTAACGGCTCTACCTCAGCTCCTGCTGCAGGGAATCTTCTCGAGCTGAACGTGAAGCGGAACTCAAGAGTTAGCGCTTTCTGAAGAGAAATGGACCTAAGTTATCGTCAAGTAAGCTGACGCTTATTTCCACTTATATAATCACTTAAAATGTATCTTGACTTGATTACACTCTGTATTTTAATCAGAGAGACAGACACTGAAGAATAACCCCTCCAGCAATGGCTTTTATGTGCCACTGTTTAAATCATCTTTCTGAAAGCATTAGTGTGAGACATGCCAGAGAGCTCACGGCCCTGACATAAGCATGTTCTCAGAACTGATGCCTCCGAGGCCTGTCTGCTCTGCGACCTGCAGCAGAGGATTTGGGTCACACGGTGCCAGCCTAGGAGCATAGTTCCCAGGAGAGGGCTTTTCAGCAGCTGGCCGGTTCCAGAGAGCCCAGTGTCAGCGGGATGAGAACAGAGTGGCCGAGGGTCAGTGTGGACGCAGCAGGGAGGGAAGGCAAGCGACAACATTTTCAGTTTACCGCACTGATGAGCAATATTGTTTTTTGAAACTCAGGTTTTTGTCTTGCTTTGTTCTTTAGCTTTATCGATAAGTGATCCATCTTTCAGAAGCCACGAGTTATCCTGGATGTCTTTTGCTTCCTTTCGTATTCGAAAAAGGACCCAGAGCCAGCTGCAGGTCCAGCCTCTTTCTGCAGACGGCATCCTGTTCTGCGCGGCACAACACTTACGAGCACAATCAGGTCAAGTCGGCGGATCTTTGTTTGCAGGGAAAGCAAATCCTAATGAATTCGCAATAGACTATTAGTATGTGATGAAGTGCTTTTATTTCTTGAGTCATCTAGTCTATAAACACTTGATACTTTCATGTTCTATTGCTACTGCGTTATGAATTGACTCCCTAAATATAAATGTTAATAAAATAGCAAGAGCTTTGTTAGAATTAAAGTTAGCAAAATCCAAATATGGGTATTTGCTCAGCTTTATAATAATTCCATCAAAAAAAGGTTGAAGCCATGCCTGAGTCTATGTCAAAAGGAACAAAATATGGCCCAGCTGGGTGTGGCTCGGCGGTTGAGCATCGACCTAGGATTCAGGCGATCGGGGTTCAATTCCCGGTCAGGGCAAATGTCTGGGTTGTGGGCCTGATCCCCAGTAGGGGGTGTGCAGGAGGCAGCCGATCAATGGCGCTCTCATCATTGATGTTTCTATCTCTCTCTCCTTCCCTCTAAAATCTGTAAGGATATATTTTTTTAAAAAGGAACGAAATTGTATATGAAAGACTTAAAAAAGGAAGGCACGGCTATTTTTCCAGTAAATCTGTCGACATTTACAGCTCCAAAAATTTTTCTTTAAGTTGTTCTGTCTTCTAAGTGGTAAAAACCTAGGGTCCACATCCCAAAATAAGTTTATACAAATAATTTTTAACTATAAGAGTTGCATAATTATTGTATAATTATATGGAATGAAAATACCCAAGTACTATGCTTCGGTTTTAAAAATTGACATTTGAGTTTTTTACTGTGTTCTTAATTTCTATTTTCCTATTTTTCTCCAAAACTCTGACAAAAACTTTTTTCATTTTGTTTCTCAGAAAATAAAATTTTTGTGTTAAGAAATAATTAAATCAGTTTATATCTTGTAGTCGACAAAAATCATGCCCTGATTTTCACAAACTAATCTAAGAAATTCTTTTAAAGGTGTCATAAGATGTTGCTACATGATAATATCAGAGAATTAGACCAAAATGGTTCCGTGTCAATGCACTGGTGAAATACCTTCAAAATAAATTCAATGAGAAAAGATGACACTTTCAAAGAAAAATATAACATGATTGAGCTACAAAACATACCTTAGAAGAGATTTGTTCACCTGAGATTTGATATTGGGCTTTAAGTTCATGATTAATTTAAATCTCCCTGTGAAAATGCGAAATGGGAGAATCATGCACAAACAGAAAACTTCTGTTTATAAATCAACAGACATTAAGAGGTGATCATCTTTAGTTATATTGGTCATATAAACAGTTCAAAGTTAACCTTTGTACGATAAGGGCAGAAAATCAAGAGATATTCTGGACTCTGACTGGCCAAGAATGTTGTACTATAATTTTATAATCAGTTCACTAGATACATATTTGTGCTTACGTATGTAAAAGCTCATGCACAGTAACACTTAAAGGAGACAAGAACACATTTTTTTTTTACGTCATTAAATGGCATTGTATTACTGTTCATAAAAGTCAAGATCTTCCTGTCTGCCCTTAGACAGTATTTACAAAGAGAACTGAAAATAGATTTATTAGTTTCATGTCATGATAGGTGCTGCAGTTGACACTTATGTAAGGAAATCATAAAAACTTTAAAATATTAAAAAAACCTAAGCTCTACATTTGCAGACTTAGATTAACCTAAAGGTAATTATCAGATGAAAGGCATATACCTACTTATTAGCAATCAAGTGGTGTAACAAGTGATGAAGTGTGTTTCATTTAAGGTTGCATAAAATAGAGGTGACTGTCCCGTACTTTGTACCTTCTCTAAGAACTACATCTGATGTAAACATCAAGCCTTCTAGCTCATCCTCTGCTGAGAGGAGCAATTAATAAAAAATGTTCAAACACTTAAAACACAATGTCAAAACTCACAAATTTGGATTTTTCAGCAGCCAATTAGGTTTTCGTATGTGCCAAACCAGATTCTCAATTAACACAGTTTCTGCATCTCTTTAGAGAAATAATTTGAAGTCTCAAATAGTGTAAAATTTAAAACAAAAGGATAATTTGAAGATTATCCTGGTTGATTTTAGATCTGATTTTGGAAAAAGACAATGGCACCTGCTTATGTTTCTGCTAAATATTTAGTATCTTAAAATTAGTTTTTTGACACAAAAATTATTAATATCATGTTAAGCATAAATTAATCACAGATAGCTGAATTCATCTTGATATAGTTATAATCCTCCCAGGCAAATGTGTATTAAAAAGCCTAGTCACCCGGCCAGGGGTGGCTCAACGGTTGAGCATCAACCTAGGATCCAGCAGATCGAGGTTCGATTCCCAGTCAGGGCACAGGCCCAAGGTGCATATTCAAACAACTGAATAAAAGATAAAATAAGTTACATTGCCTTGGCTTTCCTTTTCTAGAGAAAAAGTATACAAAATTTCTCTACTAAGTTGTCTGTAGTCTCTTCACAAATGTTAGCCCCTCAGGTCCCTTTGATCTGTGATGCGTGGTGGGGTAAAGGCTGCACAGAAGAGGAAAGCAGGGCCCGAGGCCTCGTTAAACCTGGTCCAACAGCCGAAGTGCATCCATTCAGGATCTTCATTCCACCGGTGAGCTCACTTTCTTGTAAGGATGGTCCACCAGCGGTGAACTTTTAACATATACTTACCCTAATGCCAATCTGTACTCATGACCCATGACTACTGGACCATTTTCTAATCACCTAAAATAAAAGGCCTTCGTGACAAAGAGCTGCCAATACAGCTACCAGCAATTTTAGCTTCCAGGGCCACAGAGGCAGAGAAAAAGCCTTCTTTGTCAATTCTTCTTAAGAATGTACCAGCAGCCTGGCCAGGCGTGGCTCAGCGGTTGAGCATCGACCTAGGATCCAGGCCATCGGGGTTCGATTACAGGTCAGGGCACATGCCCAGGTTGCAGGCTCGATCAATGACTCTATCGTCATTGATGTTTCTCTCTCCCTCTCCTTTCCTCTCTAAAATCAATAAAGATATATTTAAATTAAAAAAAAAAATGTACCAGCAAAGCTGAGTTGAAATAAACAATTCCCCTTGCCCTTTCTTCCGGTTGGCAACTTGAGCAGTGATACTATAGATCACGGCTTCAGCTTTCATTTTTATTTTTTATTATTTTTTTAAAATGTCTTTATTGACTTCAGAGAGAGGAGAGGAGAGAGAGAGATAGAAACATCAATGATGAGAGAGTCATTGATCGGCTGCAGCCTGCAACCGGGCATGTGCCCTGACCGGGAATTGAACCCCGATCGCCTGGATCCTAGGTCGACGCTCAACTGCTGAGCCACGCCCGGCTGGGCTTCATCATTTTTCGATGCTTTTTATTCCAGTGTAGCTCTTCACTGTAAGAGCGCTTGCTAAAGGACACTGCAACACAAGTAACAAGAGAAACTCCTTCCACTATGCTGCGAAAGAGGGTTGCGTCCACCTGCAAGGCACCAAGTGTATTTAGAGTGCTATACACGTTTGTTTCTGTTTTTATTGATTTTAGGAGCAAGAGTAGTATAATGAGGATCTCATTTGAAACAATTACTAAGCTTCCGTGTAGATTAGAAAATCAGTTGGAAAGGTAGGAGCAGGAGGAGGCTCTAGCAATAGCAGGTCATGCGCCAGAGAGGAAGGTGAGTTTAGAGTAGCAGGAGTGGGCAGAATCAGGGAGCTAACAATGAACCAAAATGCTAATAAACCTGTCTGACCGGAGACCTGTGTTTGACAGGTTATGTGTGGATCGGACAAAGTACGGATCCAAGGATCACACCTAAATTTTTGAAGAACTGGATGGGAGGGAGGGACCCACTGAGTTTGCGAAGACTAGAAGAGGCCGGGGGAATGGGAGGAAGTTCACAAACTGAGATACGAACTCTGGAGTTTGAGGTGCCTTTGAAACACCCGAGCAGAGGTCTCCATGAGGGGTCCGTGTACCGGCAGACGGAACCTGATGCAGGGCAAGGCTGAAACGCGTACGCTGTAATAAAAGGTTCTCATGGCACCACTATTAACTGCTCTTTTACCTCCCTCCCCAATCTGTGAAAAACAAAGTCAGTGGCTTGGAGTCAATGTTACTTATTTTTACACGTTCACTCAACTAAAATTACTGAAGGAAAACCTCACTTCAGCTTAGTGCCACAACACATCTACTCAGTGGCAAATACTTACAGCTAGGGAAAACTTACGTGGCCAATTCCAGAACAAAAGAATACAGAATGTGTGAATGAATGTAGACACACAGACTTTGATCTGTAAACAGAAAGAAAATTACCTACCATAATTACGACCAAGACTTGTTACCTTCTTTTTCCAAAACAAAGCTTGAGTGGCTAGAAAGAGCACGATTTTTGTTTTGTTTTGAAATATGTTTTTATCAGTTTCAGAGAGGAGGAGGGAGAGGGAGAGAAACATCAATGATGAGTCATTGATCGGCTGCCTCCTGCACTCCCCCTCCTGGGGATCGAACCTCGATCTCCTGCATCATAGGGCAACACTCAACCACTGAGTCACACCAGATGGGCAAGAGTTTTTCATGGAGTAACATTTCACTGTTATTAAACTGGTTTTCTTTCTCAACAGGTGATTTTTTATGTATCTCTTTAGTAAAGGGTTCTGTACAACTTCGCTACAACCTTGGTGACAGAACTATTGTGCTAGAAACTCTCCAAAAAGTAACTGTTAAAGGAAGCACTAGGCATGTGGTTGAAACAGGAAGAATCAATGCAGAAGGCTACCTGGACCTGGATGGAATAAATGTAACAGAAAAAACCAACGCTAAAATGAACTACCTGGACACAAATACTGACTTCTATATTGGAGGGGTGTCATCCTTAAGTCTCGTAAATCCCATCGCAACAGCAAATGAACCTATAGGTTTTCAAGGTCGTGTCCGAGAAGTTGTTATAAATAATCAAGAATTAACTGAACTAGGAGCGAAAGGTGGCTCAAACGTAGGTGACTGTGATGGGACAGCCTGTGGGTACAAGGTGTGCAGAAATGGGGGTGAATGTATAGTAAACAGTACCACTTTTTCTTGCAGATGTTTGCCACACTGGGCTGGAAATGTGGCCCAGTGTGGCCAGTCTGTGCACTGTTTGAATCACCTTTGTCTCCACCAATCTCTGTGTGCCTGACCGAGCCTTCTCTTACAGTTGTTTGTGTACTTTGGGTTGGGTGGGAAGGTATTGTGAAAACAAAACTTCATTTTCGACTGCAAAATTTATGGGTAATTCTTACATTAAATACATTGATCCACACTACAGAGTAAGAAACCTTCAGGTCACTCATAGATCCTTAAATTTCAGCACGACCGGAACAGAAGGCGTAATTGCATGGATAGGAAAAGCTCAAAATGAAGAAAATGATTTTCTGGCAATCGGTCTCCATAATCAGATCTTGAAAATAGTTAACTTAGGAGAAGGCACCCCTGTACCTATGATTTATAGCAATGGCACATTCTGTTGTAATAAATGGCACCACATCATGGTAATTCAAAATCAAACTCTTATTAAGGCCTACCTAGATGGTAATCTAATTCTCTCTGAGGACATCGATCCATAAAAAAATTTTGTTGCTCTAAATTATGATGGCATTGGTTGGTTACCTGGGGGGCTTTGAATATGGCTGAAAGGTAAATATTGTTACTCAAGAGATTTTTCAAAGAAATTTTGTTGGTAAAATTAAAGATGTATTCTTTCAGGACTCAAATAAAATTGAGTTAATTGAATCAGAAGGGTACAACGTTTATAATGGAGATGAACAAAATTAGGTAACACAAACTAATAGTGGTTATTTTAATATACAAAATACATATGAAAATGTAGTTGGTAGTTATTTCTTTGGCACACACTGTTGACTGAAAATCAACTGTTCACTGTTACCTGAAATAGTCTAAATGCTAACAAATTTTTTTAAGCTTATAAATATACCAAAGATTCTGGTTGTTTTTTCCTACATCCAATTTATCTGTAAGTATGGTGGTTACTAAGTTTTCACTATTCAGTGTTAATTCATCTGTGAATTGTTTTTAAATCAAACTTAGGTGGGAATGAATTGGTGATACAAATAAGAAAATAAAAAAGCAAAAGTTATTAAAAGGAAAATAAAAATTATATAAGGGAATATTCTGTGGCTTAGCTATATTATTTGAATACTGACTTAAACCCAAAATTGTGTGAATGTGGGAGGGTAGGTGGGGAAAGGAGTTGGTTGGTCAGAGTTAAACCCTTATCTTCCATTAAGTCATCAATAAATATTACAGTTTTTGTAACTATTTTTTAAATAGCATATACATATCACTTACAAATGTGAAAGCAAATATTCTAACAAATGTCTGAAGTAATTAAAAGTATTTACCTCTAGAGAGTAGTGCAGATACTGTTGGGTTTTGTTGATAAACCGTATAGAATTACTTGACTTTTCAAACCATGTACTTACAAAACTGATATAAACATTAAATTTCATTAATGTTAAAACTTCACTTATGTTTAACTTTTCAAATTTACCCATCTCAAAATTGGACAGCAAAGTCTCTAAGTAATGCCACTGTAAATTACTGTCCCGGTAATATCTGTAACGTCAAAAGGTTAACTTGAGAAGTCCATTTTGCCCAATACCAGTGGTTGACATAATTGTGAATAGCATTTTTACCCCCACCTCCACTCCACCATTGCATATTGGGAGGTAGTCATTGCTGTTGTTACTTAGCATTTTCAGTTTGATATTTATGATAATTTTGCTGCCAAGAAAGCAACTGACAACACATGACTGATACAAAGCACTAATAGATAGGGCTATGGAGGGGAGGGAAATCTTAGTAATAAGCAGCATGTGAAGTTAAAAAGAAAAAACATGTAATTATCTATTAGATGGAAACTTTACAAGAGGACTAGTGCACAACTAACTTTGTAATGCAAAGTCTACCTGCACAGGCTCCAACCTATACAGAGAAACTGGGTAAGCAATTTGTCATTTGAAGAGCTTAACAAAATTTTTTTAAGCCTTATTTTTGCCACTCCATTGAAATCAGAAAGCGAGGCATTCTTGGAAGGCCCTAGAACCAAAGCTCAGAACTTTGGCACCACTGTTGCCAGAAATACTATTAACATTGAAAGTGTGAGCAAAATATAAGGTGGAATTCCAGAATGTCTATACATTGATTCAAAGGAGGGTTTTAACAAAACAACTCGGTAAGACAATTCCATCCAATGTTTCCTGAGGAACTCTGACCTGAATTTGTATGGTCCATACCACTTCATTTANAAATAAAAATTATATAAGGGAATATTCTGTGGCTTAGCTATATTATTTGAATACTGACTTAAACCCAAAATTGTGTGAATGTGGGAGGGTAGGTGGGGAAAGGAGTTGGTTGGTCAGAGTTAAACCCTTATCTTCCATTAAGTCATCAATAAATATTACAGTTTTTGTAACTATTTTTTAAATAGCATATACATATCACTTACAAATGTGAAAGCAAATATTCTAACAAATGTCTGAAGTAATTAAAAGTATTTACCTCTAGAGAGTAGTGCAGATACTGTTGGGTTTTGTTGATAAACCGTATAGAATTACTTGACTTTTCAAACCATGTACTTACAAAACTGATATAAACATTAAATTTCATTAATGTTAAAACTTCACTTATGTTTAACTTTTCAAATTTACCCATCTCAAAATTGGACAGCAAAGTCTCTAAGTAATGCCACTGTAAATTACTGTCCCGGTAATATCTGTAACGTCAAAAGGTTAACTTGAGAAGTCCATTTTGCCCAATACCAGTGGTTGACATAATTGTGAATAGCATTTTTACCCCCACCTCCACTCCACCATTGCATATTGGGAGGTAGTCATTGCTGTTGTTACTTAGCATTTTCAGTTTGATATTTATGATAATTTTGCTGCCAAGAAAGCAACTGACAACACATGACTGATACAAAGCACTAATAGATAGGGCTATGGAGGGGAGGGAAATCTTAGTAATAAGCAGCATGTGAAGTTAAAAAGAAAAAACATGTAATTATCTATTAGATGGAAACTTTACAAGAGGACTAGTGCACAACTAACTTTGTAATGCAAAGTCTACCTGCACAGGCTCCAACCTATACAGAGAAACTGGGTAAGCAATTTGTCATTTGAAGAGCTTAACAAAATTTTTTTAAGCCTTATTTTTGCCACTCCATTGAAATCAGAAAGCGAGGCATTCTTGGAAGGCCCTAGAACCAAAGCTCAGAACTTTGGCACCACTGTTGCCAGAAATACTATTAACATTGAAAGTGTGAGCAAAATATAAGGTGGAATTCCAGAATGTCTATACATTGATTCAAAGGAGGGTTTTAACAAAACAACTCGGTAAGACAATTCCATCCAATGTTTCCTGAGGAACTCTGACCTGAATTTGTATGGTCCATACCACTTCATTTAACTTGGGAGATACTGAGATCACGAGGATAATGCTCTAAAAAATTCCTTGATAGTTACAATGAAATCTTTTAAAAATACACACTTTATGTGCAAAGGCAAGAAAGCTGTTCTATGGAAGGTTACAAAAGCTTCAAGGACTCAGCCTGAACCACACCCCTACCAGGAAGTCACATGTTCTATCATAATAGTGTCATTTTTAACTTTTAAAAAATATTTTTATTGATTTTTTTACAGAGAAAAGGTGTGGGAGAGAAACATCACATGGGCTGCCTCCTGCATGCCCACCAGGGATAGAGCCTGCAACCTTTTGGTACATGGGACGATCCCCAACCAAGCCACACCGGCCAGGGCAAGTGTGCCTTTCTTAGCTGTAGTGCTTCCCAAAGTGTAGTCCGGGGACCTTTCAGGGGTGCAGAGCACTTCTTTTCCCAACAAATCCATGTGAAGTCTTATTTTCTTCATCTCTTTCAACCAAAATGACATAGTGCAAAACACTGAATGCAGATAGGACACTGGAGATGTGCAAAGATAAAAACAATGACACTCCTACTAAACCAATGTAGTTTGTAAGTTATTTTTCATGGGGGAAAAAAAAAAGTTCTATTAACACAATGGAATTATCTTTAAACAAGTTAACCCATAAAAACAAAAGCTCTTAAGGGTCCTGAAACCAGAAAGTTTGAGAACTGTTGCTTTAAAGCTGCAGATTTACTGAGATGTGATCATCTGTCTTCTATACCATACTGCAAGCTCTAAAAGGTGGAGCCAACGGTACTGCTCCCATCAAACATCTCCACAACACGCACACAATAAAGTAACTGAAATCTGCCACCTGGAGAGTCTCCTTTAAGTCAAAATGACTTGGGTGAATTTTTTTTCCTTCACCTTAAAATCCAAAATTCCACGTGGCAAATTTTCAACATCCGTTTTTGCTCTCCTGGTGATGGTGTTGAAGACTTATGTGAGATACTTTTCCAGCACAAAATGATGATGAATACAGAAAGACCTTTAAAATAATTGTACTATAAATGTTATGATGCTTCTGAAACTAAGTGTTGAATGTAAAGACAAGACCATTCTTTAAATTGAGTTGAAATATCTAAGCTGGGGGTGGCAATACTTACCTTTTAAAGAACAATTTCCTGGAAAAACATCGCAAAGATATTTGGGGATATTGGGGAGTTATAGTGGGTTCACTGCCTTTTCTTTAACTATATATACAGGGGTTTCCTCCAATGACTTAGTTCTGCATCTATAAATGAACAGTGGGCTCGTGTTTTCAAGATACTTCTAGCTATTGACCCAATATTTGTTTTTCAGCTCATCTATTCACGTAGTGAAATTCTTTATGAAACAGGAATCAAAGAATCAGGGTATTTGACACTTTTTAAAAGCAGTAACTAATTTTGTGACTTCCTTTGGGAGACAAAAGTCAAGAGTGGTAACCTGGCCACTGTTTTAGAAGAATCTGGGATGGGAATAGTGTAACTGTTATATTCAAATGTTAAAATTATGTAAACTATCTGCTTTAACAATAATTGATTAGGAAGCTCTTATAATGCATTTATTCTCGATTCATATCCTTCTTTAAAAGCACTACTATATTAAAAACTAAGAACAGCTGAGTATAAATTTACCAGTTAAGTTTTATATGTTAACATGTTAATATCCAAATGGTTTAACTTACCACTGCATTCTCTCCTCTATTGTTGGTATTATTTTTCTTTGACTTCTAAACATACTTACTATGGCCTTAGATGTTTTGTTAACTCCAAAATTTTAAATTTATTAGTTCATCCTCAACTAAGCTACAATTAGGGAGTCAAGAGCTGTGCTAAGTAGAATGACCCCCCAAAGTTGTCCACATTCTAATACCTGAAACCTGTAACTATGTTAGGTTACATGGCAAAGGGGAACTAAGGTCACCAATGGAATTTAGGTGCTAAGCAGGGGACCTTAAGAAAGGAAGATTATCTTGGATTATCTGGGTGGGTCCCAGTAATCACAAGGGCCCATGCTGCTGGTTTTGAAGATGAAGGGACCATAAGCAAGGAAAGTTGGTGGCCCCTGGAAGCTGGAAAAGGCAAGGAAATGGATTCTCCTCTAAGCCTCTATGAAACGCACCCTCTGACACATCTTGATCTCAGCTCACTCAGATCCACTGCAGACTTCTGATTTACAGAAGTGTTCATAAATCTGTGTGGTTTTAAGCCACTAAGTTTATAATAATTTGTCATAACAGCAGTGGAGAATAAGGATTGGAGAATCAGGATTTGAGATGAAAATAAACTTTATAAATCTGTACAAGAGAACCCACAAGTCTTTGGTTGTATCACCCTGCTCACACTGAAGAGTCAGGTTGTTCTGCAAAGGGTTTCAGATCGGTTAGTGGGATGGGGAGAAAGGGGCTGTGAAAGCTCTGTGTAATAAGCAGGCCTGTTCCCTCTCCTGTTCTCAGTTCTCAGAGCACAACTGCAACACATACTGACTTTGGAGAAAGAAAAGAACAGAGCTGCACTCCCAGTTGTGATCATCGCAGTCTAACCTGGGCCAAGTTTTTCAACTTTCTTAAGCACCAGTCCCCTCAGCTCTAAGATAAGCCTTTACCTTTCAGGCTGAACAAGGTTTACATAAAGCGTTCAGCCCAAGGTGTGCAATACAGAGAGTTTGTGGAGCCTTTCTTGCTGCCAAAAGGAATGGACTTTATAGGTATTGAGACACCCTGGTACATTTTACCTAACAGAGGTACTTATAAAACTATCTTTAGATGGTTCTAAATTTCTTTTTAAAAGAGCAAGTTTTCCTTAAAACAGGAGAAACAAAGATGAACTTCACGGAACTCTATAGTTTGTGGAAGGCTGGCTGTAGATGAGACAGGGCTGAGAATGACTTTGAATCTCCTGGTCACTGGGAACCTCTCATTTTCCCTTCCATTCACATTCCTCAGGAGTTAAACCCTCGCAGCCCATATGCCCAGACTCTCCCTACCTGCCAGTGTCGTCAACCAGAGGTTCAGTGGCCCTATAATCCCTGGAGATGGTCATCACTAATAGGGGCCTATACAGGATGTGACAAGGTCCAATGAGATATGAATAATTTTAAAGTAAGCATCACAACAGTATGTACAAGAAACTTTTGGCTAAGAGGCAATCAAACCTGACTTTAAGGTTTTCTTCCACTGCTTAATCCATTCTTTACTTGTACTTTGCAAAAGAAATCTGGTGTCTGATCAACCCCCCAATCAGATAAATCGGTGAAATCAGATTTACTGACAACATACATATTTGAAATAAAAAAGCCAATGTTGGAGGATTTGGGCAGGTTTGTTTGGGGTTTTTTTGGAGGGAGTTGTTGGAGGAAATCCTGACAACGATTTCTCCGTGATGGTGCAAAAGATGACCCACAGAATTTTTTGTTTGCAGACTCTTTTTGAAACAAGTTAGTTTCCAAAAGAAAAGCAGACCAAAATTAAACAAATTTTATTTAAATACGAGTCCTCTGTTTCAGAACTGTCATGATGAAAAACTTCAGAGGATAAAGACGACAAAAAAGATGTAAGCTGTTCAAATTAGACAAAATGTAGGGTTTTGAATTTCCACTCCCTCTCTCAACAGTGCGAACAACAAAGCTGACTCCGTGACAAACCTACTTTTAACTCTAATCCTTAGATTTTTTAGGAAATCGAACACTGTCTTCTTAATTTTGTGAAGCCATTTATATTTTCTTCATTAACATAGATAAGTAAAAATACTGGTTTCTCTTATTTTTTTTGGCCTTGAGTGTTAATATCATTTGGTAGCCATTGGTTTAAATCACGTCAATACAGTATGTAGTTTAGGTTGTAAATTAATTTAGATTTGGATTAACAATAGCCTCCATGTGCTTTCTATTTCAAGCAAAACTGCAGTTACCCCCAAAACACATTAGGATTAATTACACATTTTACAAAGAGATTCACAACACATTCCTCGTAAGTAAAATTTCTGTGAATATCAAGTCTTCAGAAACATACCTACAAAGTGGGCTGTTAGCTGCAGTTTTTCATTGGTAGTTCTAAATTCAAACCTCTTCATCAGAACATGATTTTTATTAGTAACCTCTAATCAAGACAAAGAAACCGCTTTTCCCCCCACCTAATGCCTGACACAGATAGCTATGCCTGTATGTATGTTCTTGGCTGAGTAAAAAAAAAAAAAAATGTCTGAAGGTAATTAAAGTTTTAGAGAAGAAATTCTTTTACTACTGAATTTCAAATCACACACACAAAATAGGTGAGAAATTCTTTTATCGTATTTAGAATCAAAATATCCCTTAAAATATTTACATTTTACAGTAAAAAGGATAGCAAAACACAAGATCATGTACAAGCTTAAGTATTCAAGTTCCTGAAGAGCCAAAAAGGAAAGGAAAGCAATGGCCTACCACGAAGCTGCCGTACACACGGTAACAAATGCCTTCAGTGAGTGCAGATTAAAGCAGGAAATGTTCTCCTTGGGCTTCTGATTCTTGGTCAGAAACTGCTCGACAAACTGATTAATATAATCTGATTATGAAGTTGCTTGCCTTTGTGTTGCTTCTCTACAGTTTCTTTAAAAACAGTGCAATTTAAAACAAACTTACAGAGCACACGTTACTCTCAAATTAGTCATATAAAGAACATTCACTAGAGGCAGTAAATATATTCATAGTTAACCATATTTACCAATTAAGGAATAAAACTAAAATTTCTAAGCCTTTATTGCATATTAATAAAACAAATCTTTGAATATACAGCAATGTAAAACTTTAAAAATATTAAGTTCCTATCACTAGGACAGTTGGTGTGAAGAAGGAAGGATGAGCACTGGCACAGAGCACTCCGCACCCACACGGACTGACTGTTCTGCAAACCACCAATAGTCCAAGTCTGAGAGATGGCACAGTCCCAGCAGGCAACCAAGCTTTTCAGATACAACACTTAGCGTTTACTGAAGTGGCCCTGCAGCAGCCTGTGGACTTTACCTTTTGCTTTTAGCTCTGTCGGTGTGGTCCCGGTCTCTGTGGTGCCTCTCCCTGTCCTTCTCGCCTTCTCTGTGTTTACTTTTCTCTCGTTCTCTGTCCTTCTCGTGCTCTTCACTTTTAAGTTTATCGGGTTTCTTGTCTACACTCCTACTCTCTCGGCTTGCTTTGCCATCTGCTCCTCGGTCACTGTGAGATAACCGTGCCCTCTCTTTATCCTTGTGCCCTTCCTCCCTGCTTTTCCTGTCCCTGTCCTTGTCTTGGGTTCTGTCTCTGCGCCTATGCCTTTCAGATTCTTGCTCCCACTCTTTTTCATGTCGCTCTCTTTTCATGTGGTGTGAATCACTGTAAAATCTCTGGCGATCCCCTTTACCCCTATTAAATGACCTATCTAGTTGCTGTTGGTCTTGCCTACCCCAAGGGTCACTATGGCGCCTTTCAGGTCTTCGAATGTCTTTAACCTGGTAAAAATTTTGTGGGCCTACATACCTTGATGTTTGTGAAAGGGGACCCATCATACGTTGAGGTTGGCCTGTCAGAGGAACAACAGGTGGCCAGGGAACCATGGGATTTTGGGCAAAGCCAAAGCCAGGAGGGGGAAGTAATGGAGGTGGCAAGTGTGGTGGAAATCCAAACATGCTTTGTGGGGGGAAATTAGGAGGCCCCGGAAATGGAAATCCAGAGGTGTTAGACTTCAGATGCTGAAGGTTGGGTTGCTGTGGCCTCATGGGTGGAAAGTTTGCACTTGTTCTGGGACTAGTGCTTCTGGAAGTCAAGTTAGTGCTTTTAGAAGGAAATTCTGATTGACTTGTGTTCCCAACTTCAAAATGAGATGTTGTTGCTGCCGATCCTCTTCGAAACGGGTGCACAGTTTCAATATTTTGCAGTGAAATATTCTCCTCTAAGGGTTTTGCTTGTTCGGTTTGAGAAGTGTGTATGTCTTCTACTGATGCTGAGTTTTGTGCAACCCCTGAATTATCACTCTGCTGAACACTTGAATTTTTCTCTACAGAAGATAATTTTTCCTCTACATTGGTCTGTTCTATTACGTGCTCCTTGTGTGATGGACCAGGCGAGGTGTGCTTTTCTCCATTGCCACTATCTCCATCTTTGCTTTCTGAAGCAGGTACCTGCTGACTTCGTCCTGCTGCTTGCCTAGGATCCCTTTTCAGGTTGATAAACTGTGGGGACTTTGCCGTATTAGCAACAAGGTTTTCATTGCCACTCGCATTACCATCTGTGCTTCCTTTTCCTACATTTGATCTGCATGGAGAACTAGTGTCTGAAGTCTGATTATCTTGCAAATTATTCTCTTGCTCTTCAAGTGGTCTTTTTAATGTTCTCTCTTTACTCTCCACAGCTTCCTCTTGTTTTGACTGAATTGATAAGTTTGTTAAGAATGCTTCTGTAGAAACATCTGGTGGTTTACCTCTGAGACTAAGACTCGTCAAAGGTCCAGGAGAAATGGAGGGCCCCACTGCTGAGGTTTCTTCTCCTCCTAGTACTGAATTACCTGTAGATTCTGAAAGATTATCTACTTTAACCTTTACCTCTTTAGCTTCACTATCGGTTGCTTCTACTTTATCTACTTTCTCTGCTTGGGGGTTGGCTTGCTCATTTAGAAATGGAATTTCGTTAAGAGTGTTTTGTTCTGTCACTGACTGAGCCTGTTCATAAACTTCACCAGTAGTGCCCAAAAGGCTCTGAAGTATATCGTCCACAGGAAGAGGTTTATTTGCTAATTCCAGAGAGGAAGGCTGATTTTCCCAGCCAATTAATACCCCAGGAAGAAATCTTAAAGGTTTTGGTGGTTCCTGTTTGGTGACTTCCACTAAAGGCTCCACTACGGCTGGGAGGTCTTCCTGAGGAGTCTGCTGAGGCTTAGTTCTCTGCTTGTGTAATACAGTTGTGAAAGAATTAAAAAAGTCATTTTCTTCCTCTGGGGCTTCCTCTGTGGAAACTTCTAGTTTACTTTTTTTATCAGGTGGCAATGCTACCGGCACACTTTCAGAGGTCTCAGCAGTATGACTGGCACTAGAACTAGCACTGTGTTGTCGTTTCAGTTTTTGACGAATAATTAAGCCCAACAACAGATTAGGTCTATGCAGTTCAAGCCCTGTACAAAATAAAAAACATAAATTAAGTTACTTTCAATCCCTAAAATAAAGGATAAATTGCCCTGACCAAGTAGCTCAGTTGGTTAGAGGCTTGTCTCAATACACCAAGGTTGCGGGTTCAATCCCTGGTCAGGGCACATATAATTATCAACCAATGATGCATAAATAAGTGGAACAATAAATCAGTTTCTCCCTCCCTCCATCCCTCCCTCTAAAATCAATAAAAAAATAAAGTGTAAATTTTTGCATCTAGCAAATTACAGCCTATTAAAAATGGGTGTTTTTCCCTGTCAAGTCAGCTCTAGAGGCCTGGATCCCAAGAAAGAAAGCAGAGTCAGTTTTTCACTCTGGTCCCACCCCCCATTCTGTTTTATTCGCACTCTATTATTAAAACATATACCTACCAGGTCCATCAAAAGGCACGAGAGGGTGTGGAATTTTATCTGTGGCACCCAAAGGAATAAGGTACATGTCTTTAACCTGCTTCATGTTGTTGGCAGCTACTCCGTAGCGCTTTCTGCTACTGAAGTACGCAAACAGCAGAGTGTAAGAAATTTGATCTTCTTCAGTTACAGGTGTGAAGCGAACCACACAAATTTCCTATTCAAAAAAATAAATGGTTGTTCAAAATAATAACCTAGGCAATAGCTTGGTCGAAAGTACCATTTCTCAATCAGTAATACTCTAGTGAATTTGTAATGATGGTTACCAAATAACATGGTTTCCCAAGTTAAATGCAGGTAAGGACACTGAAAGGAAACAACTCTTTGGAAAGATCTTTGTTGACCCAATGATGGACTTATCTGAAGATATCCCATATGAAACTATGTCCCAAGGTAATTAATGTGTTCAAAGTGAAACACTTCTCAGTGGCAGAGAAGATTTTTAAACCCAAGTCGTTTTATATCGATACTATATCCTTATTTCCAATGTCACAACCTCCATAGAGGGCTGCCTATGTTCTCAGCAC